TTGTTTAAAAAGAATTTCCAAAAAGTTTCCATTTTTGCTGACGATTGGCTAAACTTTAAGTGTCTAATTAGTGTTCCAATAGCTTTTAAATAAATTTGTCTGGATTAAGCTATGCACTTGAAGAATTCACAGACACGAATGTGTTCTTATATATGTATATGCTATACAAATTTTGACATTTAAACAAATTGAAATACTTTATACTTGGCAGCCAGCCGAACGAAGAAAATAATATATACATTTTTTAAAATATATAAAAATTGTTAAAAAAAATATAATTGAATCGTATCAAAATTTTTCATTTGCTAGCTATCAACTATAATTTTCAATTTCATCATATTTATCTGGCAAAAGTCAATGCCTTTTTTGGGTTAACTCTCGCTTCCGCTAAACAAATAATAATATAGTGTATAAAATTGGCAAAAGCACACATTCTATTAGCTAGCTGCTAATTGCAATTATATTCATTTCATATTTTGATTAGATTTCAACGCCTGCATAGAAAAAAAATAAACAAAAATTAAATCTAAGGGCTTAATCGTTCGATTAATTCCAATACTAAGTGCATTTTGTTTAATACTTTTTTAATTTCTTGCTGTGTGTGCGTGTGTGTGTGTGTTTTTTTTTTCAAGTGTCAACAGTTATGTCCATACACAGTAATTTTCCGTTTATTCAGATAAACAAAATAAATTCATTTATTTTTTTATTTAATTTTTGCTTTTTACTAATTTGGCAACTTTCTGACAGGCTCGTTGATGAAAGCGAAATTTCTATTAAATAAAATTCTATGTGCGTTGCGCAGCTCTCATTGGCTTATTTATAGTTTTTTTTTTTTTTGCGAAATCTTTCTATCGCGACTATGGCTGTGTATCTGTTTGCGTGTGCCGGCATGCGTATCTTATAGTACGCGTATCGGAACACACGCGTTTCTAATCTCAAGCGATTCGCAAAACCTTTCCTTTTCTTCTTATTCACATTTTTATTCTTGTGTCCTAAAAACTTGTCGGCTGCTGTTATCTAACAGTTCAGCATGGTGCTAGTTATCTAAGCTCAACTGACGCCGTGTATTTGTATCTGTGGCTGTATTTTTTTTTTTTTGCAATTGTATCTGTATCTGTGTGTGCGTCCGCACGCGAATTTGCGTTATTTGTTACGTCAAGCGGGCTGCGGCTGTGTGTGCGCGTCGGGTTCAACAACTGCTAATCACATGATATGTATAAACTACAAAGATCACAGGCAAAAGAATGATATCGATAAGGTTGCGTATAAAAATCGAAGATCGGGTTATTTAAATTAATATAATGCTTGATATGTTGAGCCTGTTGTGGTTGTTTTTTTTATTATTTAAATATGATCTACTTTTATTTTTAAGTTGAACGATAAGGATTAACATCTTTTCGAACTAGATCAATTTGTCTTCTAATCCTTACGGGATAAATTATGCAATTACAAGCCATATGTTTATTAATTTCATTTACAAAAAAAAACGAAGAGTTTAACAATTGAGCGTTACGTCAACGCAAACATCTAAGTCAAAAGGGCAAACAATGAAACTAAGAACTGTTAAAACTTGTAGTTGTATCAAATATTTATAAAATAGAATTGGACTTTAAATGCTGATACGGCCATTAAATAAACCAAATTCCATTTAGTCAGTCGTAAAACAAAACTCATTCATTATACCTCAGAGAGTAGCGTGTGCCTTTTTTTTCGTTTCGTTTTCTGGGCTGCTGTCGTAAAAGCTGCACGATTATCAAGCACGAAATATTTATAGGACTATTCGAATTACTATATTTGTGGAATGAAATTCCATTTGTTGTTAATTTTCATGACGCGGTTGGGCAACCGCATTCTCATCTGCACTTTGACACAATTCGTGTACGCGCCACGCTTGATTGATAGGCCTGGAAATTCTATGCAAAAATACAATAACAACAATAATAACATGAAATACAGCCCATTATATACCATCAAAGAGCTGGTGGTGTCGGGGTAGATAGTGCTTATCGCACGCAAAGTTTTATGGCCATGTGCGTAAATAGTGTAAAGTACTTAGCTGAAAGTGGCGCAAAAAGTGTCGCCCCTTGGCACCAGCAGCAGGGGAAGCCACAGTAGAGCGGAGGGGAGTTGGCAGCACAAAAATGCAGTTTTCTTCTATATTTTGTTTTTGCTATATTGCATTAACGAAGCGTGAACAGTAGACCACATAATGTGCGGCACACATTTGGCAACACCAACACACACACACACACACACACACTCGCACACAAAACTTGAGGTACAAATCGTAGCCCCTAAAAAAAGACAAAAGAAAACCAAGAAAATCGTCGCACATTTTCTACACATTTTAAGCTTTTATTTTATTTTTATTTTTTTTTTTTAGTTGTTTGACGCATTTTAAAAATATCCTAAACGTAATTGTTGTTGTTGCTGTCTCTTTTCACATTACTAATACGTCGCGTTGTCTTTGATTTTTTGTCAGCACTTTTTTGTTTTTTGCTTCTTTCAATTTCGCGCGTAAAGTGCGTGACTTTTAATTAGTCTACAATAAGTGTGCGAAATTGTGTGGGAGTCTCTATAATTCTTTTGCATTTTCATTATAATTCATGCTTAGTGGAGACGCAGATACATTTGTAAATATCTTTCAGAGCTCGTAGATAATATTTTAAATATGCAGATATTTATTGTCGGCTCCAGAAGATAAATGTACTTTTTAAATAATTCTGAATTGTTATGATTTGTGTTTTTTTTTTTTCTGGCAAATTAAGAGTTTAAAGATACTTTTGGATTTGCCTGGAACTTGTGCTGACAGAGACTTGCCGATTACTTAATAGAGTTGTAGATACGTCTTTTGAAGGCCAGAAAGCTGCCAGATGCTTTTCTAATTAACAGATATCTAGTGAAAGTCAGAAGTTTTCACTGACAACTCAGGAGTTTACAGATACTTTTAGATAACCCTTATGCATTCGTAGATACTTCTGTGCGCAGCTGAGTGCATGTTATATACTTTTTAAAGCTGTAGATACATATTAAATAGCTATTAGAAAGCAGCATATATTTCTTATGGTGACAGCTTTGGTGCTTAAAGATGCATTTAGCAGTTTCTTCTTGCAACGCTTTGATTTGCATTTCTCCTAACTAAAAGCTTGAAATGAACGCGTGCAAATCTCGAAAAAAAAATCTTTCAGATACACTTGTCAATAGCTCAGGCAATGATATTTGCTTTGTAGTTAGCAGATAGTCGGACACATGTGATCTGCTTGCCTGTGACTGAGGCTGTGACTGTGCCTGTGGCTTTGCCCTCGCTTGTCTCGTGCACTAAATATTTAAAATAGTTGAATTTCTCGAGAGGATTGCGGCGGCAGCAGCCGCAGCAACGACGCGTCTCGCCCAATTGCTTCCGGTTCAAATCGATTACACAAAAGCGCGCTGCACTTTTTCCTTTTTTCTTCATCTTTTTCCTACTTCAGGGTTCTTCTGTGTTTCCGATGCTTTCTAAATACTCGTATTGCTGGGCAAGTATCGAACGAACGGCGAGCGCTCAAGTATCTGCAGCTCTTCTGGTTGTTCATGTTGTTGTTGTTGGTATATTTGTTTCTATACAAATGAAGTGCACAACGATTAGTGCATTTGTGCTGTTGCCTTTTGTTTGAGTTATGTTTCGGTATCTTTTTCATTTTTGTCTTCTTCTTTTCGTTTAACCCCCCCTTTAGTCGGCCTTACGATAGTTTGCTGCTTTTCTTGTTTTTCCAAAGAAAATTAATTGTTTTGTAAACACGTGAGTGTTTTTTTTCGTGTGGCCCGCAATGACAACGCATTGCATTGAAATCGACAATTGCCGTGAGAGTGAACAGAAACAGAACAGAGCTCCTTAAATACTCATGCATTTGGTATATATATATATAGATATATATATATATATATATATATATATATAAAATATATATATATATATATATATATTTTACACTTGCAACGACAATATCCATGCTTTGGCTGCATCTTAATATCTTGTTGTTTGCATTCAAATAGACGGACATTTATCTATAGGCTGTCACCAAATGCTGCCGCACATCAATCACGTTCTAAGCACTTTTATGCCTTATATAAATATCTTCATGTGAACTATATATTTCTTATTCAATCTTGTGACTTGTGTGACTAAGAGACAAACCCGAAAGTCACAAGCTAAGCAAATATGCAATGCATAAATTATTATAATTTAACTTGAGATATTTATTATATTTTTGTTGAAAATGTTTTCACTTTCATCGAGAATATCAGCCTATGGCAGGAGCGTAAACGTTGAAAGTGCGCGACTTGCAGATACCCTGTAGTCAATTGTTATTATTACGCTTAGAGCTACTCTAAATAATTGATTGAAATTTTTGGAAAATAATGAAAAATATCCTCTCATCGTATTGTCTAAAACAAACTAACTCTTAGACACAACATTATATACATATATACCTTAAATTTTACTACAGGGTACAATAACTCGCATTATACCCTGATTTGGCATTGAATTGGCTTAAATGGTCTGGTTTTAAATAAATATTGGGCCGAAAAAATTCTTACAACACGCCATTAACACGACTTTGTTTGTTTGTTCGGCGAGTTTTGTTTGAGGCAATTTATTTTTATTGCCTCGCATACTAGTCTAAATACGAAAAAAAAGCTATCCATGCAGCCAAGTGTTGAGCAAAAAGAAAAAAAAATAAATAAAAATATGTAACCACAATAATAAAGAGAATTGCAAGAAAACTGTATAATTTGCACATAAAGCATAATGTAAGTGGGTTTTGCGGTTAGCTGTGTTTTGGCCAAGTTGCATTACCAAAATTGAAATTGTGGTGAATGGAGGAGGCATTGAAAGGATAGATCTAGTGTGGAATTTGTGGGATCGCAAGGGAGTTTTGAAATTGTGACGCATTCAATAAAAGAGAAAAAGTTTTTAAATATAAATAATATTGAATAATTTATTATATTATACGTACCACAATTTACGTTTAGAATACATCATCAATGGAAAAGGAATTAACACTGTAAATAAATGCGAAAAAATATTTTTAATTTAATTTAATTGACTATAAAGTTTATTTTTGGTAAATTTCTTATTATAATAAATTTTATGTTTCAAAACTGGTTTTCTTGTCTTTATGTTTTTTTTTTTTGCATTTTGAAAACGGGGTTATAATTTTTTAAAGGTTGAGTTTCTAATTTTTTGTTGTCATAAAAGTTGTTGCGAACCCATATTTACGAATGTCTTAAAATTCAGTCCTTAAGTGAATTATTGTAATTTTTTTTATGGGTTTGTTTTGTGTGTGATTTCTTTTTTAAAGTTTGTTATCAACAACAGAAAACTATAAAATGTATTTGTCTATCTAAAAATAAATTGAATTCCTTATAAACACAACATATTGGTTATGTGGCCTTTTATAGCACTGGCATTTGGCTAAACTTGATCTTTTCACTGACACGCATAAGAAAATGTCATAAAAAATAAGTTAATACAAAGTTAATTGATGACAGCAAATGGCATGAAAACAAGATAAAAACAAAAAACCAAAACGCATTTGAACAACATATCAAACAAATATAATTATAATAATAAAAACAAAAGCAAAAGTTCAGCTTTCAAATGTTAGCGCAAACAGGCTTTACGTATTTATTTAATGCAAATAACTATGCATATTTATATTAATAGACTATAATATATATATATATATATATATATATATATACTAGGCCGTTATATGAAATTAATATCACAATATCCGACTTAGCAGCACAAATAAATAAGCATAAAAAAATTTGCATTCACAAAAAACACATTGAAAACAAAAACAATCGCATTTAAATTTCAAATGTTGCTTAGGTGATAAATGTTTAAGACCGAGCCCCCCCTGCCTTATGGCGAGTGTTGTTGCCCAAGCTCAAGTCACAAGCGTGAGTCGCGGATCGGTTGGATAGGGGCAGGGGTAGGGGCAGGGGCAGCCATGCGTCTGACATGAACTAATTAAGTTGCGCAGCTTGATCAGATTTACTGGCGACCAGTTTGCCTCAGCGATCCGCGGCGATACTTTCCCAACCTCGGAGCCATCTGTCAGCGAAAACCCTATCAAGAAAAACAAAAACGGCGAAACTAAACAAAGCAAATGTCAAATCCGTTTGAGGCGTACACATTTTTTTTGGCGCTGCTAAAAAACGGCTGATAATCGCTTTTGGCGCTCACAGACGCATAGTTCAATGACTAGGTCTAGGCAGTGTATGGCAAAACGTCAGCTGGCCGAGTAAGTAAATACAAGACCTGTAAATACCCCGTAATATAAAGCAGTCTTGGCAGTGTGTGGGAGAGCTTTAATAAGCAAATAGAAAACTTTAGAGCTTACTCTGTAATATAGAAAGAAGGGTCTTAAATTTCTACAATTAAGACTTTTAACCTTAAACCGAACTCAGACTCTTTAATCTTACAAGGAATTCAATTGGGGTATTTTTTGTTTTACAAAAAAGTCGGTTAGCAATTTTGGCTATAATACGAGAGGTACTGGCGACTTAATTCCCAGAACAGCAATTTATTTTATGTGCCCATTTCTAAAATTTCCCTATCTGTAAATCTATTACTGTATCTATAAATGCTGGTCTGAGGAAATAATTGTATAAGAATGTATTACATTTTTTAATTTGAAATTATCTCCAGGGTATACTTCAACCTGTTATTTGTGTGCGCATGTGATTAAAATAATAAAAAAGACTTTCGCTTTCTCAATTGGGCAACGGGGCGGACTGACCACTCCAAGAAAAGGCGGCAATTTTCTGGGCCAACAATTACTGTTATTAAATTGCCACACAAGTTGGCAGCTCCTTGGCAACGATATCAGATGATATGGCTCGGCCATCGTATAATATGCTTATATGGCACATTATTTTTTATGCTCTACATAATTTGTTGATTATGCGCCCCCGGGCTTATGAACTTATGAATGACAGACGTTGTGCCTGAAACGTAGCACGGATCATTAAAAGATACATTTCATTTGTCTGTTGTAGCCGACATCTAGGTGTTATTTTATACACAATCCACATTTTGTTTTTCCTTTTTTTGGCTATTTTTGGTTAGAGTATTTTCTTGTGTTTTTTTTTATAACTTAGCACATGTGTCGCTTGTCCCTAAATAGTTTTCCTGAGGCTTTTTTTTATTTATTATTTTTATGCTGTACCTTTATTGTTGTTGCAGTTGCTGTGGTTCGCTGTGCGGCTTGCGGCCTTTTGATGCCCTTACAGAATATTTAACATAAATTCTACCAACTGGCGGCATAACAACAGCAACAACAACAATAATAAAAACAACAAGAATGAAACTTTTGGCGTCGCTTGGCACACATATTGGGCCTGCTGGGTCGACTGGGCCTTCAATTTGGCAGCTGCTTCGGGTGAAAGGCATTAACAAAAAAGTCAAGCCGAGTTGCCAAAGGGTTATGCATATTTTAAATGCTCATAAGGTTATTTTTATTAACAAGCTCGAACCTCGGACGTGCCAATAAAAACGGCAAAGACAGCACGCCGCATTTTTGGCTTAGTGTGAAGCTCAGCTGTTAAATTTATACAACAAAATTCTAGATTGTTGAGTGAAAGGTGTTCAGTTCTTTTTTTTCAATTATCTACATCTAAAACTTATTTTATTATTATTTTGTTTTTACGGTGTGTCAACGTTTAGGCTGTTCTGTTAAATAAAAGTGATATTTATGTTAAAACAGCATCTGATAACATAACATACAAATTTTAAGAAATGTTAACTTAAACTATAATAGTTCACAAATGTCTTATTGTTGCTGCGAACATACAGAAATGTTCATATGTGAGTCCTTAATCAATTTTCTGCCTGTTAACAGAGTTCAGACAGTGCGCCAGTTACAAATGTTAGTGAAAGTGCGCACCAAAGATTGGCTTATAGAATATTCGATTAAGTTCTTATAGAAACGCATAAGAATATATTGGCTATAAATTGTAACCGTATTTTATGACCCAACTGGTTGGCATCAGAACTCGCTTGCTGGCCCTGGCTTTGACATGCGTGTGCGTGCCTGAGTGTGCGCGTGTGTGTGTAACGTCTTTGGCATGCGAATGCCGTTTTGTTTTTGGGACGACTTTTGGAGCGGTCATAACTGTTGGCGTTTTATGTGCGTTTTAAAACGCGGGCGCGTGGCAACGACGACAAATTTGAATTGCGATGCCTTTGGAAATTGCATAAGTGGTGCGGGCGGGGTGGGTGGGTGTGTGCGTGTGTGCGTGTGTGTGCGTATGTGAGTGCTGATTATCTGCAGTGCTGCGACGTTGACGCAGCAGAAAGCAATTAACATTTTGATGCCTGAAATTTGGCCCACAGACAGACCTGGCAGACGGACGCGCGTGCAACGTGCAACATTATGAGTTGTCTGTTATTTATATTCGTTTAGTCGAGTTGGCGGCAATTGAATTGTTGTTGTTTATAGTAATTAAAACGGGGTGCACTTAAATGTTGCATAAAAAATGCTGCTACTGTTTGCAGCAGCAACTGTTGCTGCTGCCGCTGCTGCTGCTGTTGCGTAGGCATCTGAACACGTGCCAAAAAGTCGGCAGCAACGTCTAAGTGCAACGACAACGTCACTCAGCTGCCCCGTTGCATGCCCTGCGGCACTTCCTTAACGTGTATCACATAGATACACTTGTCGCTACCGCTGCCGCTGCCGCTGCTGCAGTTAGTGCGTGATTATTTTCAAATTCGACACAGTTTTATGCGCGAATTGTTTTTGTTGCCACATTTATTTTTAAACAATTTGCCAGTCGCGTTGCGACTCTTGAGTTTTTCCCTTGCTTCATTTTGCGAGTTTTTTCCCATCTGTTTTTTTTTTTTTTGCTCACTTTTTCTCTCGCTTAGTTGGCCAATTTGTGCATTCGGTGGGGGAAAGTCATTTTCGATGTTTCGATGTGTTTTCACCGAGTTTTTTGCATAACTGCCCGAGCGAGCAGCGTCTCCCTTTTGGGGAGGTATTTATGTAACCCGCTGACCACTTGACGCGCCCATAGATACAATTGTATCTTTTTGCTGTGTATCGCCGGCTACGTCTGCTCGTCGAGCTCGCACTGATAGTTGCTGCCTAAAAATAAACTGTGCCACTTTGCGGTGCCATCGTCAGGCGTCTGCTTAATATAGCCACAACACTAATTAAATGTCAAAATTACGCATAAAAGCGCTTAGATTCAAGAATTTATATACAATTCGGCTAATCTTAAATGTTGGCGTTGGAATTTTCAAAGCCAATTCGAATATGCAATAACTTTTGTATGCTAAGCGCTCTTCGAAATACTTAAAAAATGTCACATGACGGTTGGGGCTACATATTACAGTAGCAGGTGGTCTAACTGATGATAATATCTTTTGATGGTCAACCATGTAATTTAGATGTTAAAAATAATTGGAGATTAAGATCGATACTACAAGAAAACGACTGAGAAAGAGATAAAAGACAGTACATATATAGAAAGATATCTGGAAGTCCGATAATATAAAGATTAAATATGGATAGAAGATAGTGTAAAGACATAGCTGAAATATAGTAAATATATAGATGAGAAAGAAATAGAAATATAGATGAAAGAAAAATGGAGGATACTTTGAATGTAAATAAGAGATAGACAGGTAGAAGTTGAAAGGAAGATATATGGAGAACAGGTCAAAGATAGATATAAGACAGTCGAAAGATAAAAGCGACAGATAAAAGATGTAAGGAAGAAAGATAGCTTTTAAAGGAAAGTGTATAGTGGGCAGATAATCGAAGACAGATAGCTACAAGACAGATGGAATGGAGATAAAATGAAGGCAGATAGATGGAAGATAAATAAATGAAAAATTGAAGATAAAGGTAAGAGAATACAAAATAGTTACAGACATCAATGAAAAGCACTAATGCATTATTAAACATCCATCAATAAACTTTATGCATTACATTTCTTCTAAGCTGCAAATCAGATATTCGTTTATAATTCACAATTTGTTTAAACACTTTTTCTTTCAATAACCTTTGCTCTGCTCTTCTCTCGTTACAGTTTCGAAACTGCAATATGTTGGCGTTGCAACCACAAACCTAAGCACACAGCAAAAACGTTACGTACAACAACAAGAAATTCGTTGAGCTGTTCGACTTTCAGGCTTGAAAGACCCAACTGTTGACTGCTCTGACATGACTAGGAAGTCAGTGGAGTTGATAAAATGCATTATCAGCGGGGAAGACGAAGATGAAGATCCGCAACATCAACAGCAACAGCAACAGCAGGAAGGGCAAGCCATGAAATTGAAAAGTGTTAAACAAGTCTACGATATGATAACCTAAATTTCCTGCCAGAAAGCGGCGAATTTATTTCAACTGGAACAGAGAACTCTAACAGAAAACGAATACAAATAAAACCAAGAAAATCAAAACAAAAACCCACAACGAAACGAAAGTAAAGGGATATATATAAATTTATACATATATATTTTTTTTATGTTATTGAAACGGGGCGTTCATATGTTTCAACGATATTTAAGGGCGTGCCGCACGCCCAGCAACAACTGACAAACTGAGGGGGCAGTGCCCAACAGCAACAGTCGCAACAATTTTATAAACAACAACAAGTACTTGAAAAACTGAAAAAAAAAAACATCAGCAACAACAACTAAAAACTCTTGTGAAACTGCAGTTGTAATCTTTCATGCGAAGAAACCTGCGTTTGGATTGGAGGGCCCTGGCGATGCTGGGCGCCCTCCTTTCGTTTATCATAGCCTGGTCGGGTCTGGTGTATGCATTGCCAGCGCAAACGGCGATATCGAACCAACAACAAGCCACAAACAATACGCAAGCAAACGTAAATAATATCATTAACAACAACAACACTAACAGCAACAGCAACAGCAATAGCCGTAATCAATATAGTAGTAATAGTTCTATACAAAGTGATCATAGTCGTAATAGTCGTCTCGTAGTGCTGAAGAGTGAACATAGTTTAGATCAAAATCAAAGTATTAGTGCTGAATTTAATATGCGAACGTTAAACATAACAAATCCATCAACTGCCATAAACTCAATTACCGCAACAACAGCAACACCCAGCAGCAGCAGCACAACAGCAACACCCAGCAGCAGCAGCAGCACAACAGCAGCAACAATTGCTGATGTGGATCCTTTGGGTTTTGTATTTTCATCGGCGCCACGTGAACATTTGGCAATACTCTCACGCACAGAGCGCAGCATACGACATCAGCATCTGCATATGCATCATCAGCAACTGCATAACAGACAGCAGCAACAATCGCCTGTTGCTGCTGCTTCGTCTGCTGCTGCTGCTGCTGCTGTTGCCGGCAACAGCAATTTCATTGGTTCGAAATCGAAAAGACTGAATAACTCTAGAAATAATCTACACATAAATAGTAGCAGTAACAACAATCCCAATAGCAACATCAACAACAATAATCCCAGCAATTTGGATCGCAACGAACGTTCCACCATCTCCCATATGGCGGGTGTATCGCGCAAAATCCAGTTATATATCAAGAATCGTATACTACAGCTGCTGCCAGATGGTACTGTAAATGGCACACAGAACGAGCAGAGTGAATACAGTGAGTACCCATTTTCTTACCACTAATATCCGAATCATTATATCGGATATTTCTAAAATAAAGTTCTCTCTCTCTCTCTCCAACTGTGATTGGAAAGGTTACGAGAGTTTCTTATATACGAGTATATAATAAATAATTCAAATTAATGGCTCTTAATAATGTAAATTTAAACGAATATATATATTATTTAAACAAATAATAAGAGCATAATAGAATTAGTGTAGAACTTCTAATATAATATCATCTTATTTTTTTCGTTATATTATTCTATACTATGCACAAAATTGCTTTTTATTATGCAGAATAGTACAAAGTAATTAGGTGTTTTTTTTTTTTAAATAAAATAGTTGAATATTAAGGCTTTATTTAAAAAATTTGTTATTCATATTTCCCACAGAACTACTTTTATCCTAAATATTTGTGTTATAAATTTCTGAAATTTCTTTACACAAAAAATAAGTAATAGCTATGTAAAATTTTTTACATTTAGGTAAGTCCCCAGAGCTAAATTTGGTTTTTATGTTCAAGATTGTAACTTTGACCTTATGTGTAAGAAGCTGTCCAAACGAACTTCAAAGTTGACGCCCCATTGTTTAAGTTTCCCTTCCACCAAAATTGCCCCAAAAATGTTTAGTTTTTCTATCATTTTCATCAACATAAACAAGCAAATAAACTAATGCGCATACAACATACATAATATATGAAATATCAGCAGAGCAATATGTAGTATATATCTCTGTGTGCGTGTGTGTGTGTGCGTGTGTATATATAGATCACTTGGCACACGCCCACTCATGCAGCGCCCACAAGTTGAAAGTTCTCATAAAAAAACGATGATGATGTTGTGTTTTGTGTTTGTTTCAACGCAAAAAAACTGCCTGCGGGTCGGGACGTGTTTGGTTGGCCAAGAAATGCAGATGAAAAAAAAAAACGCGTTGAAAAATGTACAACAAAAAATTGTAGAAAAATGTAAGAAAAATATTTGTAGCGTAGCTGTTTATGTTGAGCATCATTAAGTCAGACACTTGATTTGGCAATCTGCTGCTGTTTAGGGCGCCCAGGAGAGAGGCATCTATTGTATTATTTGCCATATAAATTTATGTTGTGCGTGTGTGTGTTAAGGCTGAATTGCTGGCATAAATCTTGCTTTAATGTACTGAGCGACCTGATTAGCTGCCGCTGCTCATGAGTCAGCCCATCAGCTGGCCATTTGCATAACCTGGCGAACAGTTTGTTTCTCTCATTTTTTGGGGGGGGCTTAAGCAGCCTATCGCAACTTGTTGGCCAAATTAATTTACAGCTTCATTTTCATTCAGTTTGTTAATTTTTTTCTTGCTTTTTGCTGCGGCAATTTGCAAGGCTGATAACAAAAGCGGCAGCCAAAACTTGTTGTACAGGCGGCCGGTTTTAGTCGCGTTTTTAATCGCGCGCAGGCATCGCGCCATTGAGACATCAGCGTCGCGATGCCGCTTAGATAGTGCACATACATGCTTGCTGTTGTTGTTGTGATACCAAATTTATGTTGTTGTTGTTGCTGCCTGCAGCTCGGGTGTTAATTTGATTTCATGCGCCTGCCTCATGCGATAATGTTGCCCGGCTGCGATAAGATTTAGCCCGAAAAGTGTATTCAATGCTTTTTTCTTTTTGGGTAAAAGGCGCTTTTATAAGGTGTTTGGGAAAAGATTTTTATAGCAATTGCTCAATATTTAACACTCAACCACTTTCCCAAAATGATTTTGTGCGTGTGTGCGTTTTTTTTTATTGCATGGAGTTGGTGAGTTTTTTATGAGCTTTCAAACAGAAATCACGCACTTGACGTGCTCTCAACTTCTGTCGAGCTAGTTTACCAGCTATTATAATCGTTTTTCGTTGATAAGACGCGCTCTTGATTAACATGACTGTCACAAAAAGGAAAAAGAGGGACACACATATTTGGAAAGTCTTGCGCAAATTAAAGCTGTCTAAATACAAGAAAATTGCTTACAATTTCCACGCATTTTCCTCTGAAGTTCAGCAAAGCAGTTGACCTCTAAAAAATAAAAAAAAAAAAACGCCAACTCAAGTTGCAATTTGCTCGAGCAACTAACGGTGAGTGCCACAGACTGCGCAGACCGGATCCTCGTAGCTGACCTCAAACCCTTTGGGTTTTGCTGCTTATGGGGCGTGCATATTTTCATAATGAAATATGAGTGTACCAGTACCTGACGGTTTTTATTTTTATTTTTCTTCCACCAAGTCTCTGTGGGCAATTATGCGACTGATTTAGTGCGTGGTGCAAGGTGTGAAGTTAACTGAAGTGGCTCTGGCTAAAAACTGACGCCGTGTCTCGGGTCTCGAGTCTTGCTTGTTTTCATTTGGGTAGATGCTAAAAGCTTCCGACAGATTTTTTTGATAACTTAATTTACGGCACGTCTTCAGCGAGTTGATGAAGTTGTTGCATCGATTTTTGAGCTGCGTAGCTTGCGTTACTTTCACTGTCACTCGACTTGTGGCCCGCGTGTTAATTGCTTTTCGTAAATACTATATGCCGCTTTATTCACCAGATTTGGTGCATTTAAGGCACATCAAAGACTGTGCTTTCAGCTACATAAATGTCAAAAGTGTGAGCAACAACAGTTTGCTTTGTTCCCCCATTCGATTATGATTTAATTTATATTCTTCTATTTTATTTTTTCTTTTTTTTTTTTTTTTGTAAGCTCATCAATAGAATGTTCTCATAAAACATATAAGTTATAGCTGTCTAGGAACTTTCGAAGCCAGCTGGACTTCAAACAGCTACACATTCCGGCACAGACAAATTGCATAAACTGCGTAAATCCCCCGCTCGGTAGCTTTATCATGATTAATATTGTAATCATTTGGTTAAGAGCCTATTCAGGGCGAATTTCAACACACAACACAATCCGAGAAGAGCGCAACGTAGCATGTCCAAAGAGCCAACTATTATATCATTTTCAGCACATAATACAATAAATTAATTTTTACAATAGACCAAGAGCTCAAGAGTATCAAAAGATACATATGCAGATGTATCTAGACGACTGCTCAAAATACCTTTTTCTTGTGGATAGTTCAGAACATAAACAAATTATTTAATTATATGAGCTCTTACGTCACCAACTATATGTATCTAGATACATGTGTATCCAGGGCCTACATGTGCTATGAAAATATTCAAAATGAAAAGCTTTGGAAGTAATTTAGCTAGCTTTTAAATCATTTTCCACTCAGTAAGCAATCAACAAATATTTACAACTTCTCTTTTTTTGATCAGCTACATCATCAGAATCTTTACTAGTTGCATCTAGATACATTTGAATCTGTAGTTCACATTTCTTTAAAAATGGGTCAAGATGAAATCTGGTAGCTTTGTTATAGCATGTTCATTGTGAATTATACTCGAATAAGTTTAACGTGCTGCTACGTCATAAGATAGATATGTGTGTATCCAGATAAACTTGTATATACAGCCTTTAAAATGCCCTACAAATGCCAATAGATATCTATCATATCATAAACGACACAGAATTTTAAATATAAATAATTATTAGAGTATATAAATTAAAGGAGTGCTTAAGTCCTAACTTTTGATAGTCATTTTAGTCAGATATTATATCACTTTCAGCACATAAAATAATAAATTACATTTTAACAATAAACTTGAGGTAGCTACGTCACAAGATACACAGCTATATTTATGTATCCAGACACATTGTGAAAAATCTCTAAAGAAATATGCTTGAAACCGAAAAAATGTGAACATTAGAACTTTTTCGGATAGCCTCATGAGCCGGCTGCCACAGTCAGTTTACGCGTGTGGGTGGTGCTGATGCTGCACCACTTGATGTGCCATTGTCAGCGAGTCGGCTCATCAGAACGCACGGTGTGTGTATCTTTGCGTGATTTATGCGGCGTACGAGTAGCATGAAAGTGTTTTGTTTTAGATAAGATTATGTATATATATATATTTACATATATATGTATAGGATATATGGCTGAAACTGAAGCGGACAACGCAATATGTCACATGGATTTATAGTTGGCGTTGGCGGTCTTCTGTTTCGCTCTGCAAAAGTTTTCCGGCTGCTATTTATAGTACAGATGGCAATGAACTGTACTGGCTGAAAATTGCTCAAGTGCTCGGCAATTCGATTATGTAAAAGGTCTAGGCCAATAAAGCAATTGCTAAAAGCCAATACATCCAATCACCCAAAATTTGGTGGCCGCTTGGCTGTATTTATGGTCAAGTGGTTGCCTTAAAACGCCAAAACTCCGAAGAGACATTGACAAGAATGTTAAATTATGCGTAAAGTTCGTTAAAAATTTGTAAGCCTACCAGGTTGCTACGTAATATTTATGAAGCTGGCCAGCCTATATAAATTATCATGATTAATGATATTTTGCACGCAGTTTGTTGCCAAGCTGCTGGCTGCTGCCTTTGCTCTTGTTGTTGTCGTTGTTGTTGTTGCCGTTGTTTTACAAGCTTTTTACGAGCAATTCATTTTCACCCCAGTCCCAAAAAGCCCGCAGCAGCCAGTCACATATTGACCGCTGACCAGTGGCAAAAACATTGACACAGAAACCAAAAACTACAAGAAAACCGAAAAGCAACAACAACAAGTCACAGCCGCAGATATCGAAAATTTATTGTTTAAACATAAAAAGTGTTTAACAACATGCTAAATAAAAATTGTTGACTGTAAGTTGAAATGAAGGCTGATTGGCTCATGCGGCGTATGCGTAATTTGTAATCAGAGTGCACTTTGCTACCGTCTCAAGAGATCTAGATAGCAAAACGAGCCTGTATTATATGGTTGAAGATTATTTTTAAAGATTTTTAAAATCTCAATAAGCACAGTAGTTCTTTGCGAGACTTTCATGAAGCAAAAGAAAATAATATTAAATTAGTACGAATTTCTAGGGCATATACGATAGCTAGAATTTCTAGAGCAGGTGATATTCTTATCAATGATATGGCGATACACATCCATAAATATATT